AATTTCCGGTCCACGAGACCGTATTTCAGAGCGAGCTCCTGGTGTAGAATTCTGGCTACTAGGTTGTGCCTGTGCAAGTACTCAGAGTTAGAAAGCGCCGAACAACCGGAGATGACATGCCTAAGTGACTCCCCGGGATGGCGACAAGCTCGACAGACGTCGACGGTGCCATCCTTTAGGATGTATCTCCGATAGTTGTTGGTCTTAATAACCTGATCCTGTATTGCACAGACAAAACCCTCGGTTTCCCCGAAGAGGTCACCGAAACGTAGCCAGTTGAGGGAGGCGACTGTATCTACGAAGGGCTCATGTAGAGCCTTGTAGTACCTCCCGTGGAGCTCCTTCTCCTTCCATACGGTCTCCCGGTCGGAATTGCTAAGCACTGCTGGGTCCTGCCATTGCTCGTTGGCTAAGGATAGAGGGGTAAGCCCTTTATCACTAGAAATGACGTCATTATAGAATGGATCATCCGATCTCGCCAAGAAGTACTGACGGAGACTGCACACTTCGCGATTATGCATGGTGAGCGCGCTCAGAAAGCCACGCCCACCATACTTCCGCGGCAAGTACAGCCTCATTACCGACGATCTCGGATGATGCATCCTATGGGACGTCATGGTAGTGCGGACTTTTCTATCCAGGGCGTTAAGCTCAGTCTGAGTCCACCTGAGTATGCCAAAGGTATACATGAGGACAGGCATGACCCAGCCGTTATATGCATGTGTTTTATTCACACCGGACAAAAGGCTGTTAAGCACTTTGGTCAAGCGTGCATAAAACACGTCGCAAACTGACTGTTTCATACCAGCCTCATCGATACCGATGTTCTGTGACATACCCAGGTATCGGTATGTTTCAGCCTCGGAAAGGGTCCTTAAGTTGACGGGCATAGACAAGTCTATGCCCTCAGAGTTAGCAACCCTTCCCCTTTCAACATGGAGGACCGCACACTTATCCGTCCCCAGCTCCATTCCAATGGAACTGCTAAATTCACAAGTGATGTTTAGCAGTTCCATAAGATGGGAGCGACTGGAGGCAAATAACTTGAGGTCATCCATATAAAAAAAGGTGGGTCACTTTTGTCCCTCCTTTCCGTAGCTGAAATCCCCTCCCGGAGCCCTCCAGTAAGGTACTGAGAGGGTTAAGAGAGAGGCAGAACCAGATTGGACTCAGACAATCGCCCTGGAAGATACCCCTTCTTATCCTTATGTGGTTCTCCGCAGCCGTCATCCGCTCGCCCAGATGACAAAGGATCGTACTCCACTGCCCCATACACTGCTCGAGGAAGTCTCTAACTGTACAGTCAATCTTGTACAGCTCGAGGACCCTCTTTAGCCATGTATGGGGCACCGAGTCGAACGCCTTTCTGTAGTCTATCCAGGCGGCAGAGAAGTTCCGACGGTTGCGTTTCACCACTTTGCCTATGACCGCGTCAATGAGGAGTGGTTCCTTAGTTCCACGACCACCGCCACGACCTCCATTTTGAGCGCGTGACATCACCTGGTTTAGCTCCAGGTGACGAGTGATTCTCGCGCTCAAAATGGATGTCAGTGTCTTATATATGGTGGGTAGACACGTGATGGGGCGGTATTTGCTCGGGTCTGTGGTATCCTGATCTTTAGGAACCAAGTGAGTGATCCCAGTAGTGAAGAGGCTCGGGAGTGACTTCTGGTCGAGAGCCTCTTGAAACTGTCGGGCGAGCACAGCGTGACTTCCCTTCAGCCAGTAATGATGCAGCCCGTCGAGCCCCGGACTTTTCCAGTTCGGGGCCCTACGGACCGCCTCAGCCACGTCTTCTGGCGTTATGGTGATGGGGTCCATAGGCGTAACACTCGCACCCTGGCCCGCCACAACTTCCATCCAAGGGCCCTCACTGTGGTTTACGGGCTCTGACCACAGGCCACGCCAGAATGCGATAATGTCAGCCTGGTCCGGTCCTTGGCCCGCTCCACATACCTTTGGTCGCTCCAATAATTTATAGAGCCTCTTCTGATCACTCTGGAAGAGACGATTCTGGTTGAACCGCCTTGACCCCTCGGAAAATCGTCGAATCCGCTTCCCCCAAGCAGCGATCTTTTGCTTCAGGTCGTCTATGCGCTCCGTTAGTTTCTGCGTGATATCCGGCTGGGACAAACTGATATTTGTCCCAGCAAACGCCATCCTAACGGTGCGCATAATCCTCGGTCTATTATTGCCCGACCTCAAGCTTGTCAGTCTGCCGATAAGGGCCCTTGCCTTTGCGATACGGTCCTCGATTCTTTTACTCCAGGCTGGGATGGCGTTACTTTGTGTAGTAGCGCGTCAAGCCATGGGAAGTTTGGCGCCAATAATACGGCAAACTGCCACTGCGGCGCCAAAGAGAATCGAGTCCGTCTCGCAAAGGTCCCGGCTGGCTTCCAAATAGGTCACCAGCATTGGGTTAAGAGCCCTCACGACAGCCCGATTTCGCTTGCTTAAGGGTATGCGGGGAAGTCGCGGTCGATTTTCGAGAGGGGTGCTGCGCGTTTCCAAAATCGCCTCTTCCAATATACTCCTCATTTGCTCTAGTTCGTGGGAGACTATTTCATCGTCGTTCGAATCAACCACAACTGGAAGATCCATGGCGGCTTCCACGTGTGGATGCTGGTCTGTCGAATGTGGAGCTGCATCTCCAGCCATAGCCGATTCATTCGACGACGGAATAGCCTCACGTCGTAGTCGTTCGAGTTCGGCATCATCAAATATTTTCGAGCGCATGATGTACCGAACTCGGTCTGCCAGGTTTTGTTCCGTGACGGGGATAGACGGCTCCAGCTCAGCAAAAAAGCAATGCATCCGAGACCTATACGCTATTCCCACAGTTTCTTTCCCTTTCGCCCTATAGTACGCCCGCAATGCGTTTTCGTTCATGGATTTTGTCCAACGCATGCGACGTGCTCCACCAGCGGCGGGTGCCGCTTGCTGGGTCCGAGAAGACCCAGCCGACACCAAGCCTTCTGGTGGGGATGATGGATGCGAGGGGCTGCTAGGTGATCGTGCAGCTCCTCGCGCTCGGCTGGCGGCCCGCATGCTGCCGCGTCCAGCGCCAGCTCCAGACGCGCCCCGGCGACCCCCAGGCAGCGGCCCTATGCGCGTTCCTTTTTGTGTTTCTTCCATCATCCATTTTATGGGCGCCAAATAACGGGAGACGCCCAAGCCCGGCACCGTTTCGTGGTTGGGTCATATGCAAAAACGGACCTTTGCATCTACAATTTTGCCTAGGCACGGCGCTCACACCTCTTGGCAGGATGCTGACTGACTGCGCCGACGTCGCAGTTTTGTCACATAACTGTTACGTCAGCGGGCGATGGGGTCGTCACTTCCCTACGCCTTAAAATAAAAGATTATTATTTAATTAAAGTATTATTATTAGAGATTTTTATATATATAATTATATATAAAAATCTATAATATTATAATATTAAGATTAAAATTAAAGGTTATTATTAAGATTATTATTATTAACCAATAGTTAACGGATGTCGTAGCCAATAGACCTATATTTATTCTTCTTTAAGAGTAAAAAAGATTAAGGCTTAGGTCAGGGCAGTTGAATTTCAGGAGTGAAAACAGCAGAATTTCAAAATTCCGTTTTGTTGTAATTTAAAAAGTCTTGATTTGACATTGACATTGATTAAAACTACTTTTATGGATTTATCGCGTTTAATTTTCTTGATTTTTAATTTTTAATTCCCGTGATATTATATAATTATTATTGATGGTATAAATAATTAAAAAGCTGAAGCTACTCCGGGACACCCGACTTCGGAACGTCAGTCACCTCAGCTCCCGAGACCATGTGTGCTGGAAAGCACCCGAAACGAGAATTAAAAATTCGTAAAAGTAGTTTTAAACAATCTTTTTTTTTTTTTAATAACTATATGAATACTTTGTAACTTTTAATTTTAAATACTTAATCGACTATAAGAATTTATTAGCAAGCATTATTGGCAAGCCCAGCCAACATGCTGAGATTAAGTTGCGATTTAACCAATCCTCTATAGGAAAGCAAAAGATTGTATAAAAAAGCTGAACCTGAGCCATCTTCATCCTGCGTCATTGTTCGTTTGTCCGGCTCGGGCACCCTGAATTGGCTTTGAGGTGTGCACTTATTCAATATTATACTTCCCTTCTAGGAGTATTTGTACCGCTTTTCTTTTAATGTAACTCTTTAGAGAAAAATGCAACCAAAGAGGGTCGTGCCAGCCAAAGGATTTTAGTACTGGCCCCGTGTAAGTTTAAAATACAATACGTATCAAAAAATTATGAAGAATTACATTTTCCGCTAAGAAATAAGAGGTAGGCAAAAAAAGCTTTATTTCCCATTGATTAGGTACGCGTTTATAGAGCTATGCGCCCAAAACAATTGGTTGGACTCCATTTGCATGACCGTTTTAGCTTACCGATTTAACTGAACGAGCTTTTGGCCCTTTTTGATTATTTCGGTCGAAATAACCCAATAGCGACAAAACATTTGCTTGAAGGTACTGCAACGTTTGGTATTCCTCTATCACGCTTACAATTAGGTAAACATCTTAGTTTGGCATTTTAAATAATTCGTTGAACTTGCTCAAACGGCTAGCAATGGTCTACATTATGATTTTATTACAGCAACCACAGATTTTTTATTATTTAAGTTTGTAATTTTTTTATTATGTTAGTGCTAATGCTGGCCTATCTCCTGTTTCATGTATCTCTTTCGTATTTTACAACACCCACGAAAAGATAAAAAGAGATAATGGATTTTCTCACTACAAGGCGGCATCCATCGTGATTTATAATAATATTTTTTTTCTTTTAAACGCCATAGATAATGGCATGCTCACTATATTATTGAATTTAAATTTGCTGTTTTCATCAATCATTTTTAAAGGGCGAAATTTGAGCCAATACCATACAACATACCAATTGATCTTTGTTATAAGCACTTAAAATTAAAGTTTAGAACAACTAAATTCAATATTTGAAACAGCGCCACCTACCTTATCACCATCGAACTTCTCAACGTGTTCATCGCTACATCGTGCTTCACGTTTTTCCCGCGAACTGCGCCGAACTACAACTGGCGTTTGCGGCGGCGATACTAGCGCCACGCTGTTTCTAGCGCTACCTGGTGGCGACTTGATGAACTCAATCTTGCCTCCCTCGACGCAAATATTTGGTGTGAGCGGATACATGGGAGACATTGCAACATTTGTATTGGCTAAGTGACTGTACATCTGATTGTCTTCAAGGGGAAGGGATTTTGGCTTTGCCTTTTTACGATATGTGGAATCATACGCTACAAATTGGGCTTTATCCTCCGGATGAACTTGACGAACCTTCCCGGGCGGCCGGTCGGGTGGTTCAGGGGATACGCTGCCATCATCTGTACCAGGACTATCATTTCTCTCGTTGTTTGATACCCTGAAACAATAGAAATTAACTTTATTGATATTTTATAATTACAGCTCTCGACTAACCGTAAATTTATACCGCGAAGTTTCCAAAGCCTTAACTAGATGTCTCTGTTAGAACGTACAATGTAATTTCACTGTATTAAAATGGAAAAACAATACATAAAAATAAACGAAAACGTCTTAATATTATGTAACATTTTATTGCATTTTTCTTATAAAATTTTTAAAAAGTTTGTAAAATTTCAAATTGATTTGAAGATTTGTAAGATTTCAAAAATGTACTAGTTCTACATCGCGCAAGTGAAATTTTTGTAATCGCTTGATATATATACCGGCAAACTATACTTCCTTTCGGAAGTGTATTCTTTAGTGTGATGCCACTACTGTTCTATGATCTGATAGCTAAATGCTAGAAGGTCTCTAACAGCTCGTGACGTCACGCGCCTCGTTGCCCAGGCGACGCTTCTTGTAATGTGCGCCGCGGACGATCGCCCGCGCGGCTGCGACGGCCCGGCGGCGCACCTTCCTTGAGCGGGCCTTCTGAACCTCTATACGCGGTTTTAGTTAACTCGATAGCTTAGCACCGGTTAAAAATTGAGCACTTCCATACCGTGGCGACGAGAGCAATACTCGATCGCCAGTTTTTTGTCATTTATAGGTATGAATATAAACAAAACAGTTTAATATTTATTAAAAATAGCTCATATTTTTTTAATTTATACTGTTGACGCTACATGAAGCTACTATTTTGTACTAAATGAATAAACTTAGGTTTATGCGCTCCCCTGTCATGCTCACCACTGGTTTCAAAATTTACATTATATAGCTATGAGCTCGTAATATATCAATAAGCTATATAGTATATCAGTGGCTAGACTGTTCTCATTCTCATTTCTAAAATGTTTCATAAATAAGTCCGTCGCAATGACCCAATGCTGCGGGTTGGCAGACTTGAAATGATGTCCTCTACAGAAGATTTTTTTTATTTGTAAAACTTGCAGGTTTCCTAGTGATGTTTTACTTCAAAACTTACTAATCAGTAATGTCATTGATACTTACCTCAGGGATCAAACTTGGGTTGTTTTGGCTATGAAAATGAATGCAAGCGTTTGAAGCCTTGGTTTCCACGTCTCGATAATTTCGAAACATTTCAGAAACGAGATTAGCATATAAATATTCCCACGCTTTTATCAAATTACTACTACTTAGGTAATTTGTTTCATTAAAAACATAATATACTAATATTTATTATTTTTATATTGTAAAGCGCGCGGGATTAGCGCCGGGCCCTATCTCTCGCTCCCGCCACACCTGACAGTTATTGCATCATCTAGTACTGAGCAAATTCGGCACATGCTTATATTTACTATTTTTGCGATAAAAAAGTATTTCGTTGTTTTATTATTAGTGAAAATTGTTAATTAGCAGGCAGGACATTCACTATTTAGACTTATTTTTGAGAAACTAACGGCCAAAGTAAAGTGAAATGTACTAATGTATTGTAATGTTTCTTTGCTTGATTCCAAAAACATTTTATCAAGTTTCTATTTGCTACAATCGGAAATAAATCTACAATGCCTCAAAAATATAAATGTATAGACTTATGTATTTGAGGAACTCTAGACTAAGTAGATTTAACCCATAAATAAAATATACTTCCAACAGTCAAAGACATCGCATTACTCAATTCATACATTTCAATGCAGTGGACACTATGAAAATGAATGTTCGGTGATTTAGCCGAATATTCGGCCGAATACGAATATTCGGTAAAGCTGCCGAATATGCCGAATACCGAATATAAAACGAACCCATCTCTAGTTATTTTACGCTGGTATTCTGTGAGAGCGTGATCCTTCCCCAGTCGAGCACGTATAAAAATATGGCTGAACATGGCTCTACCACGGTTATACCTTTACATTTTGATATATTGCATGAAATATACCTATGAAGTTAATAGTTGACTATATCGAGGTACAATTTACATAATTATTATGATTTTTACATAACTTTAAGTAGAGCCAAGGTACCTACTAAAATGATGATGATAATGATTACCACAGTTCGAATGTTTCTTATCTTGAATGAAAAAAAGTTATCCAAGTGAAACCTGATTTTATTAAGTTTCTATTAAAAATGAGTACTGAATGAGCACTGACCAATTAATTAAGAATGAATATAATATTATGCACAAATAATCTAACTTTTTAATTAACATTGCAACAAAATCTCGATAATATCGCCGCTTGCTGTTTGACTCATAAACAAGCCTTAAAAGGAATTCGCCATTTGCCTCGTAAACGTATTTAAAAACAAACGAATGGACGGACATGTATGCTCGCTGACTCGCCACGAATAGAACAACTTAATCGCACAAGAAATAAGAGCAATGATTAACAGTATGCGAAACTTATTTTATAGCGGCTACTGTTTATGCCTATTGATATCTTATCGGCATTCAGCGAAGACGGTTGTGTCGATAGCGCGAGGAAGCTTTCGGAATGCCGTTCGCGTCCACACCTCGCCTGACTGGAAATTTAAAATTCGAAGATGAACAAATGACAAGTTTTTCGATTAGTTGTTCTCTAGTCCAACGTTGGACTTTTGTAGTACAGAAGCAGTAGCGTGAACAGGCTCAGTATCGGGCCAGTTCGTTTGGCTTTATTGAGGCTTTGGTTAACGTTGGGAACTAAAAAAGTTAAATTTAAACCCGTTAAAATCCGTGAAATTAGTTTTATTCCACAGGCTTTAGTAATCATTTCTATAACAAATATAATAGTATGTTCTATTATTACGATATCATCAACTCGTATGCCGAATTTCATTAAAATTATACTGATTAAATAATATAATTAATAAATAAATAAATTACAATTTTTTGTCGTGTGTATTAAAGAACTCATTTTTAACAAATCAACCACAAACGTTTGTCGAGATAAGACAGAGGCTGAACGCAGTCACCGCTCGATTAGCGCATGCCCTCTATCAAGATTTAACGATGAAGAGTCCTCGATAATTTTTAATGACTAGCCTAGAGTAAACTAAATATATTATTAGAGTTATAGAACAATTTAGGAATTTTATGATTTCTTGGGCCAGTAGCCAGAGACAATTTCAAGTATAAACTCAAATTCTACGTATCAAAATTGCGGAGTACAGTAAGTATTGAATAAACTTAAATATTGGAATAAACTAATATTTGTTTAAAACAGAAACAAAAACTTTTTTATTCAATGTAGATTATAAATAATGCTTATTGAAAGCCACTATATTGTTCAATTACCACCGGTTCGGAAAAAAGCCTTTGTCCTGAGAAGAACCAGCAAGAAACCCAGCGGGACGTTAAAAAAATACAGCTTACAATCATGTTTAATATAGCTCAATTAATCAACAAAAAACAAATTAGAAATGGCTTGGTAGCGATCACTTCGATCCCAGGGATTATTATCATCCATAAATTCCTTAATACAAAGATAATCTCTTGGTTTTACGAATGGGTCGGCTCGACCGGGGCAGGACCACACTCTCACAGAATACCAGCGTAAAATAGCAGCTAATGCTTTGTATGGTGAGTGTAGAGAACCGAATCCCTAGTATGATATATATTTTGTTATCCAAACATATTATATTACTTACCTACCTAAATGTGATATAAAATAATAAACACAGTTTATTATGAAAAGCCAATTAACGTAAAAGGCAGGAATAAACTAAAGTATTTCTCTCTACTATCTTAACGCGGGATAAAATCTTATTTACTGCGAATTGAGCACTTAATCTATGCTTTTTATGATTATCTGCTTTAGTATAACCAAGCATATTGTAGAAAAATAAAGAAGTTTAATATATTTTGTAAACGGTCGCATCTTCTCTTTAGCATTTTGAAAGAACAATGATATACGTAGTAGAGCCATGCTGCAGCTATATTAGTAGTATAGCTGTAGCACGAATGGGTCGGCTCGACCGGGGAAGGACCACGCTCTCACAGAATATCAGCGTAAAATAGCGGATTAAACTGCTGCTGTGTTTCGTATGGTGAGTGTAGAGAACCGGAGACCCTTTTTTTTTGGAAACAAGACATAAAAAATCAATCGAAGTAAAATATCAAGTACATTAAACGCGATAAAATCCGTAAAAGTATTTTTAATCAATCTGCTTAAAGTTGGTTTGCAGTCTTCAGATGCCTCTGAGCTGCAGTAAGTACTGGTGGAAGTAGTTGTACTAGTAATAGACTTACCATCACACTTACCATCAGGTGGACAAATTTAATTATTCTCCCTCTTTCGAGTAATCGGTTAATAAATAATGTCGACTCAGTTACATACCAATTAACCGAACGTTTTGCTTTTGTTACAACAAAAACTCTAAGTCAGAAATAACATCACAAAACGCAGTGATTCATTACGAAACGAACCAGTACACCAAATGTTTATTCAAACATGATTGCGTTAGTGACAAACATATTTTGTATTAACACACAGTTGTAACAAGCAGTGTGCTTGCGTCCCATCATTTACATGTTAATTAATCAAGCTAAAAAGCCCTTTATTATCGCAATCGTAAGTGTCAATTTTCGTTCCAAAGCACTTTATGTGAACATTAATTTAGCAATAAGTGTCAGATGTACGGAAAGACAGATTGACGCTTCTTTGGGGTTAATCGTGCGGTAAATTAATTGAGAATAATAATAATTAATGGGTCAATAACTTTGATTTGAAAATTTTCACATCAATACACCATGTGTAGCCATGCTACAGCTCGACCGGGGAAGCACCGCGCTCTCACAGAATACCAGCGTAAAATAGCAGCTTAACGCCGCTGTGTTTTGTATGGTAAGTGTAGAGAACCAGAGACCCTTTTTACTGGAAACGAGGCATTCCATCTTAGTCCTCACGGGTGACAACATATCTGCGTTTTGATTCGTAGTAGTATTAGACGTAGTGTTTGTCGTATCTCCTCAGTTTCAAGGCACTCCTTGTTGCCTAGCAGTATCAAATCCTGCTCGACTTCGAGCGACGTGCAGTTTCGTGGTCACTTGGAAGAGAAGGCCAAATTGGCCTCTAAGAAGCTTAGCGTGCTCAGCAGAGCGGGACAGTATTTAATGCCGGCACACCGCCAGCAATTTTAAAAGGCGCAGGTTCGACCACATATGGAGTACTCTTCCCATCTCAGGACTGGAGCTCCCCAGTGCCAGCTCCTTCTACTTGACCGCATCCAGCGCAGAGCGGCTCGAATCGTCGGCGACTGAGTGCTTTCCGATCGGCTCGATTCCCTGGCGATGCGAAGAGATTTTGCATCTCTTTGCGTATTTTATCGCATCATATGGGGAGTGCTCTGAGGAATTGTTCGGATTAATCCCAGCCACCAAGTTTCATGAACGTACTACGCGGCAAACCTCCCGATACCATCAACACCATCTGGATGGTTGGCGGTTCACCACTGTACGTTTCACAAGTTTTCTTTCGCGTACGACCTTTCTGCGGAATAGTTTACCACCGGCGATTTTTCCGGACCGGTACGACCTGGGGATCTCAAGAAAAGAGCTTAGATACTCCTTTCTAAAGGGCCGGAAACGCATCTGCAACTCCACTGGTGTTGGGGATGTTCATGGGCGGCGGAAGTCAGTTAACATCAGGTGAACCGCATGCTCGTTTGCCCCCTCTTCTATAAAAAAGTCATCGATAAATGTACATAGATTTCTGTGGGCGGCAGCAAACACTTACCATCAGGTCGACTGTGCGCTCGTTTGTCACCCTATCTTATAAAAAAAAAAAACAACAATAAGGAGGATTTGGCGTAACGCCACGCCACTCCAATTACTTTCATAATCTGGATCTAAATAATGACAGAGCATCTGACTTTTTCTAAACCCGTTGAAGTGAAGACTCACGATCGCTTATTTGTTTTGAGTGTATCTATTCGCTTCATTTCTAAATTCGGCTCTAGGAACGGGAAGAAAGCTTTGGCCCCTCGTTTCTAAAACATCGCAAAGATATTTCACGTGCATTTTAAATTAGACTTAAAGCAGCAAATCGCTAGATATATTTTCAGTCAGCGGAATCGAGAAGTTATCCGCATTTGGTGTTCGCAGCAATATTTTCGTCACCCGGTGTCAGTTTTATCTCTTTTTGACAAGTCTAATGCGATCACGAAATACTTGAACTTCTTTTTAATCTTCAGTGCAAAGTTATTGTAATGGGCCCGATTTTCCATAGTCCAAATTTCAACATTCCTTAAGACGGGTGTTTTGATTTTTACGATGATGTGGTGTTTTTGAATAGTACGTTTGTGGTAAATTTTCACCTTGCATATAAATTTGAACCGATTTTAACGCGGTGGGTTTTTCTTTTATTTTTATCTTCGTTAAATTTGTTTGTTAGATGTCTAATAACGGCGACATTACTTTTACATTAGTAATTAATTTTTAGTAATTCTAGAAGGTTCCTAATTTTTTTTTGTGTGGATGTTTTTTTTTTTTATATATATATATATATATATATATATATATATGTATATATATATATATATATATATATATATAATAAACACATAAGCTTTAATATATTTTCTATACGCAAAATAATTTGTGACTTTTGAAATACGTTTTTGTAAGTTGTCAGCGGAAGAGGTAGACTGTTTCAGTAGTTAACCGGCTACATGGGTGACAGATAAAGCAGTCAGCAATAACATCAAAGTGGCCCCAAATTGAGACAACGACCGCCGACTGAGCGCGTGTCGAAACGCTTCCTCCAGCCAAGATAGACTAGGTTTTGTTTAGTCTAGGAGTTTCAAGCTAACCTAGTACGATTAATGTCCAGCCATAATTTATCGAAAAAGCCGGCGGTATGGACTGGCAAAAGTTGGTTCTATGAATTCATATTATTACGTCATGGTAAAATGTTCGAGACACAAATACTGTAAACGTACTTCTTTTTATGAATACCCACACCCACACGTACTTAAATACACCCGCAAACACCCAAACATGCTTGCACTCATATGCACACGAACACACGCATGGGCACATGCGGGCCATATATATACACACATCCTGATTATGATATCAGCCTACTTGAAGAATCGATGGTTAACGTTAGATAAAATGGCCTGCGATGGCCTAAAGGTAGAATAATAATGTAACAAAATGGCTCAATGAATGGCTATAGACCTTGAACGAGAAACATAATCAGTCCCCCTGTTATTAGACTAGTTAAAGTTACGGCCTATATAAGTCCCACCGTTGGGTACAGGCCTCCTCTCATTTCCGAGAGGGTTTTAGAGTAAGGAATTGTCCGCCGTGTTGGCGAACTTCACATGTCTTAAAAAAATCATATTTCTCAGACATACAAGTTTTCCTCACGATGTTTTCCTTCACCGCCGAGCACGTGGTAAATCAGTACTTAAAATCGCAATTAACAATTTCATTGGTGTCGGTGGAAATCGAATTCAGATTGCTCGCGTGCTGTGAAACTTACAGTTAGCGCTGACCATCTGACCTACCACGGCTATACGACCAGTTGCGTATATATAATTCTTTAAGAAACTTCACCGCGCGTAAACCCGACGCATTGCATCTACAGTAAATGGCACAAACACAAATATGGTCATCTCTCCAAAACTTTGTATATTTGAAGTCAATTTTCTATTTGATTTTTTGACAATTTTATTAATTTTTTAATTTTCTATCCAAGCAAATGTGAAATATTAGCCTTTGTAACATAAATAGATAGGACGCAAAGGGTTGGATAAAGAGTAATAATTTAAAGGAAATGCCAAGTATAAGGCATCATAAATTTTGTTGAGCAATTGTTTGAACCCTAGACCTTTCAGTTTCGACACTGGCGTTCACCGTTCAACAGTAACATTTTCATTACTTTTGAGCGTTTGAGTTATGAATACAATTTCATAATTTATAACCGACTAGCTGGTTCTGCAGACGTTGTGCTGCTCTTTCCGATAGATGGCGCGATGTGTTTAATTTTGAAATCACTCTAGAGTCTAGACTTTTCGACACAGCGCAACGTATTTGTATTGGTTCAGATTTCATGACTCTCTTTTTTGACACTAAACCGACAGGCGACACAAATCGACAGTAGCATAATGTTTAAATGTGCGGACCAAAACTCAGAACAACAGACAATGATGGAATGTGATATGGCACATGGTAGGTCCACGCTGCAACTATATTATGTTTATGGTAAGAATGGGTCGTACGGGTACATTCCAGCGTAAAATAGTATCTTAATGCTGCTGTGTTTCGTATGGTAAGTGGCGAGAACTGGAGACCCTTTTTACTGGAAACGAGGCATTCCATCTCAGTCCTCAGAGGTGTCAAATTACATTAAAATGCACGCAATTTATTCTCAATAAAGAACCAAAATCTTTAATTGAGGGTAAATGTCGATGAGCCACAACATTCACTTACCATCATCTGAACTGTGTGCTCATTCTTACACTTATTCTATAAAAAAATCCGTAGGTATATTAATATCAACCCGGTATTCAGTTTTTTTTTTCAAATTAACTAACACTCTACCTGGGGTAAGTGGCTATCGCATCACAAGGACACCTGCAGCTACTTCAAACTACGAAGGTACACATGCGTTGTACAGATGCGTCGTATTGAGGACTAAGGGAATGAGTCTTAATTATTCTACTACTTATTTAGACTGGAACACAGTAGGAACTTGAATTTGGCGGCATAAATAGGTACCAGGTGGGTTCCTACATAGAGACTGCTAGGTAGAAAACAGTCCTACCATCCATCCTATGTCGTGTATTAGAAAAATTAACATCACTGCCAATGCACTTTCAACGATCTAAAAATAGTAAGCAATAATCATCGTCCCGTTGTTACTTAGCATGTATACTCCCACCCCGGCGCCGAGTTAGGCTTGTACCCATAATGACATAATGATGGTGCTGATAATGATTATAAACCTGTCTGGAATACGTCGATATTCTGGTTCTATCTGGATCCAAGTACATGGTATACTGAATCGGTTCGTGATCGCATGCGAGGCGAAACCTGACACGGAAGTCGGAATAGCCTGTGTCTATGATCAAGGCTATAGACAAGTGTCATGTTAAGTCCAGTTCAGTGAATTTGATTTACGTTTATAGATTATCACAGTGTAAGACTTTATATTTCTGTATTATTTATTAAAAACGATATTAAGATAATAGTTAGGGGCACGGACTTTACAACTAAACAATAGTAACTGGGATATGGGATGTTAACAGCATATATATTAGTCTTTTCGTTGACTATTTGTGTAATAACTAATTGTTGTTTTTAAATTGAAATTAGCCAATACAAATCATAAGGGCTTATTTGGGTTATAATATAATACGAATTTAAAACTAGAGTCCGTCCGATGGATAGGCTTCGGCCACCGTCAGCTAAATAAGCATATATTCGGCCTTTGGTCAAATTGGTTTTAGATACCAAATTTAAGTTTAATTAAACCGACTAAACTTAGTTTTTTAGTATAAAAGTAATGATTTTTATATGTAAGGAAACAAGTATGACACAATAATTCCTATATTTTTAACTGACAACACGAAATAGATAATAATTTTTTTTAATCTTTAAGATATTATGTTTATTTGATTCCAATCTTATTAAGACTGCCAATATTATTATATTTGTATTTAACTTTACTACAAGATACTGACTGAGTTTTTTATACATTTATTCTTGTTATAGTCAAAATTTTAAAATATAATTTTAGTTCTTTGAAAATTTTCAGTTAATTTAGTTGCAATCAATATACTTAGTCATCACCATCATTTCAGTCCAGCACAAGTCTACTGCTGAACGAATAGATATAAGCGATTTGGTTGTATATACTGTAAACTTATATTTTAACAATAAATGAATACTGCTGAACGAAAACCGACCCCAACGAATGTTACAAACTATGCTCCTGAGCCACTTCCATCTATCGACTTCCTGCACCTCTTACCAGGTCGTCACTCCAACTTGTGCGGTGGGCGATTTCAAACTTCAAAATAATCACCATTTAGTATTAAGTGTGCGCCTGATCAAGTGCCATTGATGCTTACAGAAAATACGGTATTGATATCGGAACAAAACACAAAAGTCATTTTATTTCACAACCGCACAATCAGAAATCGCCGAGTCACGATACCTAGCAATCATACATAATAGGGTTTTCATTTGTCAGCTACGTAAGGTCATTATTGTGGCCCTAACCGTACACTTGAGTACTTTGGCTTTGCGTAATCAATACCACGTATGTGTGCAAGTTCAGAATCACTGTCGAATTATTTCGTAACGTTGGAAAACGTTTGCTTATTGTCGTTCGAATACGGCGTTGATTTTGAATGTTATTTGGAAAAAGAGTAATAAATTAGGTGATTATTTTATACGATAGGTTGGACAAACGATCACTCAGTCCACATGATGGTAAGTGGTTGCTGTGGCCCATAGACACCTACATGTATCCTCGTTTACGAATCGTGCGTTGTCACCCGTGAGGACTAAGATGAAATGCCTCGTTTTCAGTAAAAAAGGTCTCCGGTTCTCTACACTCACCATACGAAACACAGCAGCATTAAGCTACTATTTTACGCTGGTATTCTATGAGAGCGTGGTCCTTCCCCGGTCATGCCGACCTATTCGTGCTGCCACTATTAATATAACTGCAGCATGGCTCTACCACGTATGATACCATGTATGTGATAATTATAAATTACATGCACCGTATTTGCGTAAATATAAAAAAATGTTACCTATCTAAATGTTATTAGCTTCCAGCGATCTGCCCTGGCGTTGCACGGGTGATTTCTGCATCTGAACATCAGCGCCACCAACCAGGTCCAATTTTGAATCTAAACCATTCAGGGGCCCACTTAAATACACACAAACATGTTCACCAAAATCTGTGCAGACGTTTCGAGATTTAGCAAGACCAACGGATAGCAAATGATTTATATATTATATATACATATATAGATTAAATGAATGTATTTAGTCACCGTGTGAGGTCTGCTACTGAGTATTCATTTTCTATTCACGCTACGGAATTAACGCCAGTTCGATCGAAAAATGCATCTAGGGTGCTTAGAAATAATACAATAAAAGATTTAGATATATATATATATTTTATATATATATATATATATATATATATATATATATATATATACATATAATTGAATAAGTACCACAATGTTTTATGCGTGCCAGTTATATCAGCACAATTGGGTCGGCTACGACGGGATAGGAACACGCTCTCATACCAGCGTTAACCAGCATTTGCAGTGCTTTCGTAGGTGAGTAGAGAACCAGAGACTCTTTTATTTAGAGGCATTCCTTTTAAGTACTAATGGGTACCAACACATTTACATATTGATTACTAATCGAGGATAGAGTTGAAAGTATAGATAGTAAAAATATATACTGAGAGTTGAAAGTAAAATACAGCTCCTTTACTAAAACAACCTTAAATAAACCACGCGTTGCGCATTTTTATTAGTTAATTAATAATTAATTTAGAAATGCTGTCTAACTCATTCACTGGACGACCAACAGTAAATTTAGATTAACAATTGTCAGGAGAAAATCAATGTGACATTGACGGACTTTCAAACAAGGTTCGTATATAAGCTTGCAGACAGGATCAACGAAACAAAACACCTCGACGGGAACGCAGTTCTGCAAACGTATTCTAAATATAAAACGGAGTACGAACCGGCCGTGATTCATACGATCTAGGTTATTCTATTTCAGAGCCGGTGATGCCTGTGCTAGCTTCGAGCTTTGCCCACTTCGCTGAAGAACTTTCCATACTTATGCATTATTTAGAATTACACCGTAACAGTACTGGCGCAAGTGAATTCCGCCATAGTTTTAGTTTTTTTTTTAATATGAAACAAATGAACTTAGAGTCTACAATAGTAAATGGCTACTGCATTAAAAAGAAAAATTAAATAAAAATGGCTACAGATGCTGCAGACTACAGATCGCATTACCACGTGTTATGATTAGGAATGGAATGATCTCAAAGCCTGTTATAATATTGGCATATAACGGTTAGACCGAAGCACAGCAGTACACCCACACCTGCTTCATGCCACAAACAGACGAGGTGTAACACAGAATACCAGCGTAAATAGCAGCGTAATGCTGCTGTGTTTCGTATGGTGAGTGTAGAGAACCGAAGACCTTTTCACTGGAATCGACGCATTCCATCTTAGTTCTCAGGGGTGACAACCCATTTGCATTTTGATTCTTAATTGTGGATAATGTAGATGTCTATGGGCCACAGCATCCACTTACCATCGGATGAACTGCGTGCTCGTTTATCACAAAATGCTATAAAAAGCAAGAGAGATTTAGTCGTAAGTATGGACCCAATATGGATTGGGTAATTTTAGAAAGACGTCCTGGTGTCGGAGGTGCTATACGCAGAGTTTCAATCACCGAACTGCTTGCCAAATTTGTTGTTTACGTCAATTACACCTTCTTAAAAACTGACACTTTTTTTGTTTGACTTTTAAGTGCCGATGTAGAAGATAAATAATTATACCCGCAATCGCACCTGTTACAGCGCATTACGTTTATGCAAACAATTGATCGGATCTACTGGGATCATAATTAGTCAAACAATATGGGATAAGATAGAAAATTGTGAAAGAAAAGATAGGTGGCTAGGCCGTGGCCTACACTATCACAAACTTAATAGTCGCCTTTTACAACACGGTGGTAGAGTTACACAGATGGCACAGTATTTTTTTTACAATTTCTTTATATGTGTATGGAATCTATAAGTCCCTGAATAACATGGGAAAGCATATAGTAAGTAGGAGTTATTTATTTACTACGTCGTAAGAGTTA